TTAAGGGTATTCCATCTCGCCTCTGGAACTGCGATGAGTCTGGTCTCCAAGACCAATTCCCATCAACTAAGGTGGTTGGTCAGATTGGCCAACCATGCATGGAGGTATGCTCAGGTGAGAAGGGCAAAACCACCACCTGCCTGTCAGCCTTTAATGCTGAAGGAACACGTCCCCATCTTGTGCTACCCTCCCCACACCACTCACGCTCTTCAGCCAGCAGACCAGGCCCTGTTCTGGAGCCTGAAGCACCACTGGGACCAAGAGGGACGGAAGTGGACCAGGCTGATGGCAGGGCAGAAGCTGCCAAAGTCTGAGTTTTTCTCTGTTTTCAGCCGGGCGTGGAAGAAGGCTGCCACAGTAAAAAACGCTCAGGCAGGGTTCAGATGGACAGGGATGTTCCCTCTGAAGAAACACATCCTCCCAGAGAGTGCTTTTGCTCCCAGCAAAACAACAGAGAGAACCCTGCCACCCACTCTCCCAGCCCCACCCAGCAGACCCCAGTCACTGCCAGATATGATAGTTACTGCAGAGCTCAAAAATTATAAATGCAGGACTGTGGCACTCCTGAGATGCCCAGGCATGCACATCATATTCACCTGACATAAGAGTGCCAATGTGACACATACAGAAAGTCACAAGAAAGGTTGGATGTCAGACAGGCCACTTTCTGGGGAAAAGGAACTCTTGGTCTAAAACCACTCTAAGCAACAGAATGAATACAGGTATATTGAGAGTTTTTTTAAGTCTCTGTGAATGTCTGGTGTAAACTGAGAGATTTAAGGTGCGCATAATATAGCTTTTTAAATTACAGACACCAACAAAGTGTCCTCTCTTTGACTTTCCCTCTGAAATCTGTTCAAGTTTTGCAGATCCTGATGACTCCAGCTACCTCCCCAGCATGTCTGAATTGGTTGACACCAGCAGTGAACAGTAAGTTAACTTTGCTTGTTATAGATCTTTATTAATCTGACATCAAAGGAACAATCTATTCCTCAACATTATTTGATTTTTCATAACATTATTTCTGCACCAGAGCCCCACCATCTTCCATTTCAAAAAGTTGTGATACAAATGTCATTACTCAAAAAATGATTTATTACAAGTGTAATACTTTCCAGAACATTACAATAAAACATAACTATTTACATAAAGTCTTCAAATTGGAAAATGTACTCCACATATATTAATCAGGGTACTCCTGCACAACACAAGAAGGGATGACAACCCGGTTGTGCTTTCTCAGGTATCCCCAGCACCAGGAAACAAAACATCTATAGGGCAAGTAGTGAGCACACCTGTAATGACAAAAAAGTAATGTGATTCATTAAACACAGCATACTATAATAACCTAATTGATTTATATTCTCTCTATTTTGGCCATGTCTTACAGAACAGGATGCCAGGAGATGACAGCTTGATTCATTAACAACCTGCAGTCTGACTCAAATCATTCTGTCTATATGGATGGACCAGGACATGGACAGAAGTTATTCTTTCAGAAAATGTAGCTGCATATTTGTGCAAATGCACTGAATGACTGCTCACCTATTGTTCGCTTGTGTCATTTTCAGTGTTGTAAAAAGTAAAAGTAACTGTAATTCCACTCCAATTACCCAAATTTAAATGGGCTTGTGGACAACTACAAAGAGAAGACAAACACAGCTTGTCCGCGTGGATCCCCTTTATTTTATGGTTTATGATCTAATGTCACTGACCTTACGTTAGCCAAATACAGTCTTTTTGTCAATAATCATTTATTATCTAACTACTGTAGCAAAGCCCGGTTAACATTTACATTGCTATTGTATGTGTTCAGTTATATTTACTGAAATATCTTTAACACCAAGTTATGTACTGCTAAGTGCTTTAGCAAATTGTGGTGTTCATTGATTGTGATTGAGGGAAATAGCTGGTCTCCTTTGTTTAAATATAATAACACCACATGAATGCAAGCTGCTTATTATTAGCACAGAGACTCTTTATTATTAGTGTAACATCATTACACTGTGTTTGTCTAAATATTAAAAGCAAATTGGTTTCAGTGGGCATTGATCCTGTTATAGTTATAGCTGCAAACTGTGTGACCTGGTTCTGATTCCTAAACCTTACCTTGTTTTGAAAGACAGGCCATTTGATCAACAGAAATGTAATTTCTACATATTCCAAATCAATAAAATAAATGTACCGTCTAACTTACACAGCTCTTTCCTTCAACTCCAGTGGCCCATGGTCTGCCTGGTAAATGTTCAGGGCATTCTGCAGGGAGTAGGGGTTCAGGCAGACTGGCTCAAGGCCTGGACGAATAGTAATGCACTGTGCCTCTTTAGGAAGCTCTTCACATCTATTCTGAACCTGTTGAAGTGTGTTGGAAGGTGTTTTAGTGCTAGAGATTGTGTACTCGTAATGGTCATTGTGGAAGATACATTTGTTTTTCTTTACATACAGCATTGAGCTCCTTGCAGCAGACATTTTCCTTCTCAGTTGGCATCATCCTGCATTCTCCACAGGTGCACCTGTAAAAGTACAGGTTATGTCAGTTGGACTACAGATACTGTCAACAATTTAAGTTTTCTATTTGTCATATATGTACAGTAAAGTTAGCTGAACAATTTACAGCTTATTGTTGCAATGATCACAGATCTGTAGGTATGTGGAGTCTAGTGTGGTCACATTAATATTGATAATTGCGGAGGTTGTATTTATATTTGAAAATATGCAACAAAATGATACAATTCTGATTAATATTCTGATACCAGCCAGTATAATATTTCACCAGCATTTGTCTATAGTGCTCATTTCCCACACTAGTTGTATGACACAAAGCTAGCTGTAGTCCCTTTATGTTACTCACAAAACAGAAATATAAATAGATGAATTAATGTGTCATTGAAATACATGTTTACATGGTGGAGTGCATCGGATGGCTGCTAGGCTGAGCTGTGACTATACAGATAAATACAATTTTAAACTTCCAAATATATTTGTGTCTGTTATTTATTGATAGCCTGACTGGCTAGGTTATGTTTGTCAGTAATACATATTGCTAACTAGCATAAATAAGAGTAAAAACATTACCATTCTGTAGAAGGCTGAGAGGGTCGAGGTTGATACAGGGGCAGGTCAGTGTCCTCTGACTCTGGGTCAGATTCTGGCTCTGGTGGCTTAAACATGTAGGGCTGAGTGAATCAAATGAAGCTCTTAGCATCCATTTTCGCACTGTTACAGTATTTGACAGTTGAGAGTGGCGGAACCCCCAGCCCCCCTCCCTCCACTTCCGCGGCAGGTGGACGTGGCGTCATCGCTCCCAGCTTATTTTTTCCCATTTTTAAAACCTAATTTCATATACTCATATACTAGGTCATATACTACTAAATTTGGCAGGGTGGTTAATAACACTTTTTTCTTTGTTGTGAGAAATTTATTATGACTAGGGCTGGGTATCGGGGCCAATTTCCTAAATCGTAAATAATTTGATTCAATTCAATTCAAATCAATTCAATCTGCTCTTAAATAATGAAAATGCCTCAACTGTGTTACATAATACAAATGTACTTTATTTTTTCTCTTCACCTTAAACAACAGGTTTTAAGTACAAACTTGTAAATTGGACAGTTTAAACTTGAGCTGTAAACAAAACTCTCTCAAGTCTCAAAAGTGCAATTTTGAAATTAGAAAGGAATTGCAAGTGAAAGTGTACTTGAACTACAACATTCCATCACGGCAAATTGCATTAAGGCATTATTTATTAAAGTGCAAAAATAATAATAATAATGGTAACTAAACTAAAAGTAAACGTAAACTGTCTAAAGTCAAGTCCTGTTATTGTGACTTTGTTCTCACTTCTCACTAATTGTGAGATTCTTGTGCAGGAAAAGGAGCTCATTGACATGATTTGGGGTTAGGCAGCTCCTTTTTGCAGTGACAATATCACCCGCAGTGATTCCCTCAGTTTCTTTCGTTTTGCCCCGGACGGCTTGTTGTCGGAAGCTAACGTTAGCGTAGTGTGATACCCTGTCCAGTGTTTTCTGAGGTTTGTAGTATTTCAACAATAACTGAGCTCCGCTTGGCAGATCTTGAAAACCACTTTGGTTTTATCCAGCTCTTTGTCCTTTGTTGTTTTAAATCTGAAATGGTTCCAGACGTCAGACTTTAGTTGGGATGGCTTGCTGAGCGGGGGTTTACCTGTGTCGGTCATTTTGTGTATGCACGTTTGTGCGCTTGAACATCAACCTGACGTAAACACACTGCTGCATCATCATGCATGAGACTACTGGGGTTAACTTCATGGGGGGAAAAAAATACCTTAATGGGGAAAAAATCGTTATCATGCCCTATGAATCGATATTACAAAATTTAAATGAAATCGATCCAAAATTGTATAAATCGATTTTTTTACCCAGCCCTAATTATGACTTTACATGGTTTTCTTTCCAAACAATATAATTTGTTGTGTAATATGACACGAAAGTGAATTCCATTCCAGCATTGCTCTGTATATTACTGTATGCTGAACTTATGTGGTTTGGGTTTTGGGCAAGTAAAACAACCTCCAGCAGCGTGCCCTGTAAAATAATTGTGCGTATTTCCTGAGGAAAAGTATGACAAGTAAACAAATACCAGCAGGTGTCCTGAAATTTTATTGAGCTGTACAAAGTAAACGACCTGCTGTGAACCTGCTCTTTCACCAAAAATATTGGCGCAGGTGGAGGCTGTCGTTTGACACTCGTCCCCTAAAAGATTCTGCTTCACTGCTGAAAGCAATTCACACCAACTCACCGCCTGCGTCATTAAACACTACCTGGAAAGCTCCTTTATTACAGTTTTCCTAAACACTTAATGGATTCACACAACAAAGTAAAAGAAAAAAAGTGCTTTCCTCTGCTTTTGGCATCATTAGCTTGTTTACAGCACTGCTTGTGCTAGTTGATCACCAGGTACCTCTCTGTTTGAACCTTCCCTGGGCAGCACTTAAAACGTCTTGAACACAGAAGCAGTTTTACCTGTCTTTGGGTCGACAGAGAAGTAGGGCTGTCCCTCCAGGATGCTGTAAACTATCTTGGCACTGTTCCCATAGGTCGGGTCATCTGCGTCTGAGGCTGTCACCTGGAAAACGGATGTTCCTGTAGAGAGGAGGGAACCAATAATAACTGATCAGATGGTGATAAAGCATTGATCACAATAAACAAATAAAGAGAGGAAGTGTTTTTATTTTTTTATTTTAACCTTTATTTAACTGAGATCTCTTACTGGGAATTTCTGACAGTGACAATATCTCCTACTTGGTGAAAACAACTACCAAGTGCCAACAAACTGTCCACAAAGAAGCTGCAAAGATGTCATCACTGGCAGTTACAGCTAAATGAAATCCAATATAAACACTGTACTGTTCTGACCACTCAAAGGCCATCACAAACAGAACTCATTCATGAACCAATGCACAGCATCGGGAGCAACTTGGCTATCTTGCTCAAGGACACTTTGACATGCTGCAGAAGCGGGGATTTAATCGCCAACCTTCCAATTAGTGAACGACCTGTTCTACCTCCTGAGCCATAGAACCCCTTAGTTTGTATCTGATTTCACTTGTTGCTGCCCTAAACATAAACACCGTAAAAGTAGAAAATCAACTGCATATTATGCAAAACCAACTTTTTAATCATTTGATTATGTACATTTGGGACTCTGGAGGGCCTATCAGCAGACAAAGTGTGAAAAAATAGGACTCAGTCGTGTTTTTGTGGGCTGCTCTTAGTCAAAATACAGGAGATAAAGCAGTCTGTTCAGATTTTTCCCCGTTAATGACGTTTACTTCCTTGTTGTCTAGCTGAGCTCCACCATTGTCCCTATAAAAGAGCAAGCAAACGAGCCCAGCCTGCAGCCTGCCAGCCCAATGTCTGGGCAAAGGCTTCAGCAGGCAAACTGTTCAGTCATTGGCTGCACAGCCCAACACTAATTTATATATGTATGAACACAGTGGATTTATTTTGGTTTTTGACGGCAATATCCGGCGGGAAAAACGGAACGTGTGTGAACCACTTTGTGTCGGACTGTTTTCACAACCTCGGTCAGTACAACACTGGACTGGCTGAAAGACTGTTCCTGAAAGAGGGATTGTACCAACTGTCTGTGGAGAGACGGCAGAGGAAGTCACTGGAAGGATTTTTAACAATTGATGCTGTTTTTCATTGTTCGTGTAATGCTAGCACATAATAACAGTTGTTAGCTACAGGAGCCTCAGTGAAGATAACGTAGTTATTTTGTTTGTTAAATGTTTGTTAAATGTTTGTTAAATGTCCAAATCTGTATTTTCACTTCTTGACATAAAATGATAGCGTTAATTAAATCAACTGCAGTTTTTAAATGTGGTTCTGGTCTTAATATTAATTCTAGCAACAGTCCTTCCAAACACATTAAATCACTAGCAAGCCCAAACACATAACATAATGTTACTGTCACTGCACTAGCCTCGATTTGAATCTGAAATGAAAACCAAGCCACAATCTGTTTTCTTTAGCAGTATGGAAATATCTTGTTTCTATACAAATGTGACACTGCAAACTCCCCCCTAAATGCGCACTATGAGCTGCAGTAAAACACAGTGTGTGTTGTCAGCAGTGGTCTTGTAAAGAGCCACAGCCCATTAGCCTGACCATGTAGCAGCAGACAGGAGAAGCCAAAGCTTTCATCCATCTCATTCATCATGGCAGACCTGCAGTGCATTCATTCTTCAGTGACAGCGTAGAATGTTAAGTTCATGTTAAATTAAGGTTCCTGCAGTGTTTAAAAACATTTTTACTCACTATATTTCTTTTTGTAAGTTACCAACAATTTTGTTATTGTTGTCATTTTATTGGACCTAGTAACATGATCATGAGACAATTTTTAACTTTGAGATATCCCCTTAACTAAAACGTAGGGTTGAGTAGGGTTAATGTACATATTTATATTTTGAGTATCATCCGATTAAAGTGCCAATATCAGTTTTCTAATGAACAATAAATGTAGGAACTGATGTATGAAATAACGTTCTATAAATAGTTTTCTAAGAAATATAGAAGCGCCTTGTTAGGGATCGAGCACTGAAAGTGCAAGACCCTATTGTAATCCAAGGAATTATTATTTTTCTGCGCGTTCAATCGCATATTTGGCCCCCGCAACATGCTCAAAAACTCATGAAAGGCGGCACACATGTCAGGCCTGGCGAAAAATTCGGTATTCTATGCGTCAATTTTGGGTTGGCCACTAGGTGGCGCTATTGTCAAGAAATGTTTCTTAAGCTAATAACTCCCACATCGTTTGTCGCACATTCAAAAAACCACGCGTATATCCACGTGTTCGTTGAATGGAGCTGAATCTCCCCATATAGGCCACGCCCATTTCCGCCTAGATTTTTTTTTTCTAGAGCGCGAAATGTCCATAAACTACTTTTTTGTGTTACTCCTACGTGCTTAGTCCAATTCGCACAAAATTTTTCACGTAGCATGCAATAAGCACGTTATAAAATTAGCACTTCCTGTTGATTTTTCGTCAAAAAAGGAAGTGGACGATTTCTCCACATTGGTATGTCCGATTGACACCAAGCTTGGGTCCATAGTTCCCCATGTCTTCCTTAGACATCGTGCACAATTTCAGGCCATTTCCACAAGGTGGCGCTCTTTAAAATGAAGAAGTTTATATCTCCACAACGGCACGTGTGATTTAAATGAAACTTGGTACGATGCTTGCCCATGGCTCCCTGAGGCTCGCTAATAAATGTGTCAACAATCCGCCACCAGGTGGCGCTGTGGTGGCATGGTAAATCACTGTGCAGAGACCGTAATTGTTATGAATATGAAATTCACAGGGCACATCACAGTTGTGCCTGTAGCTCAAATACCAAAAATCCTGTTTGTCATGTTTGTAGCGCCCCCTACAGGATTTTAAAAAAGCAGCCCCGGCGCCACGTTTCACCAATATGTACGAAACTCGGTAGGCACGTTTAAAATGCCGGGACGCACAAAAAAGCGTCTTGGACCCATACCCCAAATCCCACAGGAAGTCGGCCATTTTGAGTTAAAATTTCAATTTCAGCAAACTTTTTGCATTGTATTTGAGCGAACTCCTCCTAGGGAATTCATCGGATCTGCTTCAAAATTTGTGAGTACAGTCAAAAAATGGTTCTGATTAAAAGTTGTGCTATTTGTGCATGTACGTTGAAGGGCATGTCCGTGGTGTGCTGTCAAAGTTGGCCATTTTGATTTTTTTGGTCATTTTCTGTAATTTTTCGTGTTGTATTTGAACAAACTCCTCCTAGGGAATTTATCGGATCTACTTCAAAATTAGTCAGTACAGTCAAAAAATGGTGCTGATTAAAAGTTGTGCTATTTGAGACTCTACGTTAAAGGGCGTATCCGTGGCTTTCCCTCAAAGTTGGCCAGGTTGAATCGAATGTCAAACTGTTATGCCATTTCCGGCATTTAAGGGCTTCTGTTATAACTAACTCCTCCTACAGATTTTATCAGATTGACTCCAAATTTGATCATTGCAATCTAGATATATTGGTGATCAAAAGTTGTGCTATTTGTGACTGTACGTTTAACCACATGCCAATGACGACGTGTCAAATTCCACCCATTGGCCATCAAACAGATAATACTCATATCTTCAGTATACAGTCCCACCCTGAACACGTCCTCACAACTTCAGTGTATATGATCCAATCTCAATGGAACTCTACATGACAATATTCAGACATAGTGATCGTGCCACCTACTTAGTAAGCGCGGCGTGGCGTTTTTGAGACGATTTACGTGAAATTTTCATGTTGGGGGTTGCAACGAATCTTCACGTCTGATAAGAGTCCCGCCCTGAACACATAGTGATAGCGCCACCTAGATTGACTGATCGGTCGGCTCCCGCCCCCGAGTCGGTCAAAAAAGTGCCGAACACACCAAACCGACGCCGACTGGAGCGGACGTTCTGCGTTCAGAGAGAGAGATGGGAGGTACAGGTGATGAGGAGCAGAGTGGGAGGGATGAAGAGCAAATAAAGAGATGGAACCATTGAGAGATATGAAAGAGACTCAAATGGAGGGGGAGAGCCAGACAGTGGGAGAGATAATGATCAATACAGACAGACAAAAACAGGAACTGAGAAGTAAGACGTAAACACAGACAGTGAAATGAGTGAATGTTGTTAAAGTCCAACTGCTCTTTCTGTCCTGTTGGCTGTCTGCTTTTACAAAGCCATGTAGCTTGATTGATGGTGGGAATTAATGGGAGTGGCCTACTTATCTCTATGGTAGGAGAAACACTGGGAATCATTTCCCAATCATCAGATAGCCTCTAGTAATCAGTTTTGGGTGAAGACATGTTGGACATAGAATATGTTCCCTTGTGTTTTTTTGTATGTTTTGGCATTAGCAGTTCTTTTTATGAGCGTATTTCTCTTGTGTTTGTCTTTTCAGTATTTGGGATTGGAGAACTTCTTCATTTTTGTGTTTTCAGTTCTGTATGTTTTAGTACTGTACTTCTAAAATTGTTAGATAATAAAAATGTTTTTTCACTTCACACAGCTTTTTTGTTTGTTTATTTTTGTTTGTAGCATTTTTTGATTTGGAGCACATCTTTGCGCTTTTGCTCCTGTATGTGTTTTGTCCTTAGCGGCAACTGTAGACAAGTATGAAATGCATATATATAATGACAAATCTGCAAACCAAAGACAGCTACTTTGCATGAGCAAAAGTAGTCCTTGCGTGTGCACAATCCATTCTCTGTCCCTGCATGGGCAATGTACTCTTGCATGCCATCGTTGTGTAACACTGATACTGTGTATCCTGTTGAATTAGCAACTATGGTTGTCAAAGTCTCCACCACAGTAATAGATACTGTGCCCATTTGGCTTAGAGCACTGACAGTACTCTGTCAGTATCAGTTTATAAAAGTATTATGTTTAAGCTTTTTTGAAACTTGTATGTATTTGATCTGTGCTATAGTGATTGTCTTTTAATAAAAATTAAAAGGTTTTTCAAATATGTTTTTGTGTTGATTCTGACAAAATCAGAAAAAAAGTGTTTCTACCACCTTGTTTCGTCTGATTTCCTGAAGAATCTAACTGAATCCGACCAGTGGCAGAATAACTCAGAAACAGTCAATCTTCTTGCTGATGGTCTTGTTTGTTTATGAAGGTCATAAACTGAGATAAACCAGTTTCATAACCAGTTAAAAGCTACTTACGTTAACTAAGCCATTCTATGGGCTCTATCTTGCACTCAAGCGCAATTGACTTTGTACACTGGCACTTGTATAATTCCTATTTTCAATTCAATTCAATTCAATTTTATTTGTATAGCGCCAATTCATAACAGAAGTTATCTCAGGACACTTTTCTAATAGAGCATTGCGACAAGGGCAAGGAAAAACTGCCTGTTAAAAGGCAGAAACCTAGGACAGATCCTTCGGCTCTAGGTGGGTGGTCGTCTGTCTCGACCAGTTGGGGTGAGAGAGAGAGACAGACAGACAGACAGACGCATTTTGCATTCGACGCACATTTCCCTCCACAGATGCACGTCCTTAAATGAGGGAATGAACTTACGCTCCCAGGGGCGGTTCAGCAAAAAGAGGAGGCGTGTTCTGGCGCAAAAGTTCCCTGGTGCTATTTTGCCGTTTCAAAAAACAATTCCGCAACAGACCAGGAAAAACCTAGTCTAAAGTCAGTGGCGCTTATTCAGATGCTATTTTAAGGGCGCATGCTTGGCCATAATGTAGCGTGTGCACAACGTGCTTCTCTCATCTACAAGGAAGCAGTTCCCATTTTTATAACATACATAATTACAAGGAAAAATATTACCACACGAGGGAAATCATTGTGGTGTCCATGAAGATGTGAAAAAATAGGCATAAATCTAGCGTACACAGTAACCCAAAATATTCAGGCTAATTGTAGTAATGACGGATTGTTGATGACATAAATGAGGAAATATTAAAGGACTTCAGGAGACGTGATGTTGAACTGCATGTGCCGATGCCATTTAACCCAAATACCCAGCAGCAGCATGGGAGAGGAGAGCTTATTTGACAGAAGAGCTGCATCATCTATAGTGAGCAAAGCAATCAAAAAGTAATCTCGGTCTAATGCTAGACTACATTGCAAAAATATCACCATGCATTCATAAACTCGTGATTCAGAGAGAGTGATCCCAAAACATCGGGAAGTATGTCTTTGTGACATTTCTTTATTTACATTTTGTCAAACAGAAAAATCAATAGCAAACTGTAAATGAACAAAAAAATAAATAAATACAAACGGAAAATTTAAATTTGAAAAGATTTAAACAGAAGAACTAACTATTTTTCCCTCTGATAGGCATGCAACGCGCGTTATGGCGGGATTGGACACGTGAGGGTCCGGGAGTGGCAATGCGCGATGTGGTCCTGGTGGAGTGGGTGGATGGAGATGGAGTGGGGGGAGGAGGAAGGGGCACAACAGGAGCAGGTGGTGCGTTTGGAGGCCCACGCTCCATGGCTGCAGCAATCCTCTCCAGGCTTGAGGGGATGCGCCTGAGAGGCCACAGCAACATCACCACCCGGTCAAGACGGGCATTAATACTCCCAGACAGCTCCCGCTCCAGCATGTCAAACTCGGTTTGCTGGAGCTGCAGGAACGGGTGGTCCTCCGGTCTGACGATGCTGCCACGGCATGTAGTGGGTCTGGATCCTCTGCACCTTGGTGTTTGCGCTCCTCAGCTGGCCCTTGCACACTGCTCGGCCCGTGCGTACTGCTCCCAAGGCCAGGGTCTTCTTCCTGCAAAGCTGCGTTACATTGTTTTGATTTATTGTATGGCAGTGTTACATTTATTTCATGTCAATAATGATTAAAAAGATTTTCATGAGAAATCTCTATGTATGTGAATTTGATTTGTAAGTGTACCTTGGGGTTGGACAGCTAGTGTATTGGGTTGGGTGCCAATTTCCAAGCCCCAAAATGGACACAGCGATGTCCTCTGCTGGTGTCCGGTCCTGAGTAGAGGCAGATCCACCTCCAGTTATACGGCGTGTCCGATTGTTGCCAGGAAGCTTGGACTTCCCCCGTCTTCTGACGTCGTTGTAGCGCTTGTGGCACTGGTATGATGTCCTGGGGATGCCAGCCGTAGAAACAATTGTGGCAATTTCCTCCCACGCCTGTTTAACCAAAGCTAATTTGGGTGGGTTTCTCCCATCCCCATACAATGCCACTTCTCAATCTTTTACGGCCCTGACGAGAACATCGGTCTCCTCGGCTGTGAACCGCTCCTGGCGTGCACCTGGCAAATCTGCCATCATAATAGCAATCCGCCATGGAACAAGCGTGCCTGCTTTTAAAGGGAATGTGAGATGACGCTCTGATTGGTTTATTGCACGTTACGCCCAAACCACATCTATGAGTAATGTAGCTACTTCAGACCAACCCATTCTAGATTTGCGAGATCTGCCCACAAAGCTACTTGCGTTTTGCGTTTGATACTTGCGTTTCAGATCGTTAAGATAGAGGCCTATATGTTATTAGTTAGTTAGTTAGTTAGTGTTCAGATTAAGTTGATGTCTGTTATTAAAAAAAGGTTTGCAAAGCTCCTGGCTTACCAATATCAGACATCTCAGGCACAGTTGCTGAGAATGGTCCGTCAGGGAAGGTTGGAGCGTTGTCATTGACATCCTGAACCTTGATGATGAACTCCGACTCTGCTTCCAGCGAGCGGTTCGTCCGCCAATCAATGGCCCTTGCGTGTAGGACATACTGGGACTTCCTCTCTCGGTCCAGGCTCTTGGCTGCATGGATGTCACCCGATGTCTCGTCAATGATGAAGATGGACCCGGCCCCCTCTCCAGACAGGATGTATCTCACAGAGCCGTCACCCTTGTCAGAGTTGGAGTGGAGCTGGAGATGTGAAAAGGAGAAGATTAGTCAGGGAGGGAGCGGTGAAGTGTCCCACAAGTATATAATGCAGAGTGTCAGCATGAGTGGTTGGTTAATGGTGAGGAGCAGGCAATGAGAGGCACGGCTATCCAATCAAGGAAGGAGAAGCAGGAGTACTGGAGGATTGGAGTGTGACAGGTTGTACAAAAGGTCCAGTATCTGAAACAAGTTACCGTCTCAATAAATGGAAAAAATCGAGTGTGACAGAACACGTTCTACAATGTGACGCCTATCCTGAGCGGGATGTGTCACAGAGCAGATTAAGGATGAAGCGAGAGAGGAAGATAAGTGACAGAGAAAGTGAAACTGAGACACCCTGATAAATAGTATTTTTGTATCACTGTAGGGTACGAGTCAGTCTATTGTGTGGTGGTAAACTTCTAGCTGTGTGTGCTCTGGGCTTCATTAAAACAGACGCTACTAGGTTAAAGGTGGGGTCAGTCATTCTGGACAAAGGTAGTTAATTGTTGAGTCTCATTTCCAGGTTGTTAAATACTGATACTTTGTTTTCCATTTACCATAACCCAAAGTGTCTCATATTTCAGATAAACAGTACCCTAAAATATGTTTGTGAAAAGATTTTAGGTGAGAGATAATCAGTGCAATAACAGAATCTTTCATATCTGATCAGCACTGCCTAGTTTGACAGTTTGATCTGAGTTTGGTGCATTGAGCTGGACGGACTCACTGAGAATGACCTGTCACTCACAAAGTAGCCCCGCCCTAAAGCATACCCTACTTTATGGTCTATTTTACTCTAAATGGGACCGTCATTTACTAAATGAACATCATGTGGTATGTAAGAAGACTGAAACTCGAGATTGAGACCATAAACTCATTAGGAAACTGTTTTTCTGAGCTCATAAATCAAGAGAGAAGTCGGCTCATTTCTCAGTAAGACTGCATGCTATTGGTCTTTTACTGCAGCCAATGGAGCTGCCCTCTGCTTGCCATTACATAGAATGCAGGTTTAGGATTCGTGTTGGCTTCTCTTCACAGGCCCGGGACCTCCTTTATACTGTATATATTGTCAATGGTTCAGACTACACAATATTATAGACACAGGCAATTTTTTTAATACAGATTAAACATAGGGCCACAGGAGCGAATATAAGAAATTGATTGTTTTATCCCATATAGTGTATCATAGTGGTCAAGAACAGAGCCTCACAATGTCTCTCACATAGTTTGACAACTTCAAAGATGTGTTCTGTGACCTTGACCAACAGGAGAACAGAACGCTCTTCTGCACACGGTAAACATGGCGGTAAACAAGTGAAACAAGAATTATGTTGGTGCTACTAGGTGGAACTGTGGAATGGAGGAAAGCTTTGTGGAGCTATGGCAACAATGCTCCTGCCTTTTTGGCGTTTTCTCAAGGGACTACTATGATGAACACAAATCCAGTACTGCCATTAACATCAAGCTAGCAAATCATTCATAACCTCCTCTTCAGAATGGAGAACATTTGGATAGAAAACATATAGACAATTTTATGAAATTAGTAATAAATAAATGTAACTCCTTAAATTCCTTATACTTTATAATTGGTGAGATCCAAACCAAAGCTGCCTCAATACACAATATGGGAAATTGTTCTGTCCAAAGCCCAGTGGTAGCAGTGACAAGGAATTAACATCCAGGCAGAAGCAGGAGTTTCTACAATCTTTTGTTGTCCACCGGGTGTCTCAGTCCACTCTGAATAAGAGAGTTATTTTCTTTTCAGTTACAAGTTGTAAATAATCTTGTAGGCTGCTGTCTTTTATTCCATTATCTGCCTGATATTTCAAATAATTGCAGTCGGTCACTTTGACCTCAGCGGTACAGATGTGACAAAGCAGACCAGGAGACAGAAGAGGATGTGCCTGAGTCACCCATCTCATTTTACCACCTCAGCTGGTGTTAAGCATACAAATGCGTCAAGACCATTAACTAAACTGATCTCACTGGAAACCTCATCACCCCACTGTGGTCAGGTCACAGCCAATAATACTGAAACAGCACATTACACCACTGCCAAACAAAAGTCAAGTAACGGGATTTAATGAAAGGTGCCATTTTAAAGAATGTGTGTGAAACACTGGTGGGTGGCAGTCAGAATGTTGATCAAACGTTTGGCGAACAGGTAGTAACAGAAATTAGACTACTCAAGGACCCACGATGCAACTTCAAGACAATCACACCGAAACAGTTTTCCCCACCAAACACATTGACATTTACACACAACTCATAATAATAAACCAGCTTACAATCACATGTCAGTGAGCTACCTGGGGGTTGTACAAAAGCCATATCATCCAGAGAGAGATGCTATAAATCCTGTGAATACAGTTGCTTCACCTATGTATTGTTTATTGTGCTGATGCTTCATTCAAAGTGGACAGAAACAAAATAAAACTCACCAAAACTGTCCAGCTCAGACGAGAAAAAAATGCAGTTTTAGTTATTCTCCTTAGTTGTGGGACTCACATGCACTAGTGGCAAAACCAAGCACCTTTAATGGATGTACTTTGATTGGAACTCTTGCTCAATACTGGACAACATTTTTAAATTGTTGTCCCTGTTAGTCACTTAAAAAAAAAAAGTTCAGGTTAAAAAATACCAATGTTTCCCTTAACAATACTGTAGTTTCTATGAGCCGCAATTGTGGAAAGCAAGAATTAAAAAAAAGAAAGCGGTTTTGGAGACATTCCTGACAGGCAGATGGTTGTACACCCAAAGAGACAAAACAATTGCTGAAAAAGCGCATGGCTCAATACAGGAGGACCCATTCCTTCAGTAGTCAAAACAAAACACAACCAAATACAGAAACACTGCAAGTAGCATTGGTACAAAATAATGTAATTTTTTTTTTTTTGTGGGACAACAACCGTGTCCCAGTTGTGTCCAGGGACGTTCATCATTTTCCCCTTGAAAATGTTGTCTGTGCTGCTTGCAATGTTTCTCCATTTTCTTGTGTTTTAAACGCTTTGTGTCGGCTTGGTGTAGATGTTTTTTAATGTACTTGTGTTTTGTCGATTTACATTGATTTTTCTAAACTGCAGGGCACTGGGCTTTCGGCGCCACTGAACTAACAAGTATTTTCTAAACTCATGCCCCATTGGCTGGATGTCATACTTTGGCGGTACTTTCCAAAGTGACGGGGTCACACACTACAAGATCTTTCGTCTGTCTTGTCTCCAAACTATGTTTCATCTGGAGTCAATAATAACACCATTCATAACAGTTTATCAATACACACATTATTAAAGCATTAATCAAATTAACAGCAGTCAACGTCAAACAACATTTAGCAGTTAGTTAGTGTTTCTGTAGTGGTGACAAAACGTTAAAATACTATACATATTAGCAGTTTGAGTTCAATTAAAAGCTCCCTGCACCAAACTCACATTTGAACAATTCCTAAGTGATCGTAAAAACACGCCACTCAAACTGGAGATCATTAGTTGTCGACTCATCAATTCAGCATCAATATAATCCATAAAGATAGTGTATTCTGTACAAACTTTACATTTTTTCACCTCAGCCTCTGTTGTAGCTGTGCTCTTTCAGTGGGGAATGAGAGGCTGTTTCAAGATTTCTTACTAAAATAAGTGCTGGTTGGTAGATCAGATAAAGGCTGAATTTATAACACTCATAACACTGTTAATTCGATATTTGAGGAGTTTTTTCGACCTTACCCTAATCCTTACCCTTACCAAAATAACTACCTGGTTCTCTGCTTCCTGTCTGGTGCTGAAAAGAGAGGCTACCTGTGTCTGCGCCCATTGGCTGTAGCCCGTGGCGTGGCTCCTTCACACGACCAGAAGTTTAGCCTGCTAGACATTTTTGGGTGTCTAATCATCTTTGAACAGTTCATGAAGAGCAATCATCCTAACGGGGGGTGAGCACCGATTTGCCTCTGATCTATCGTTGAGTTGAAAATCACGGCTAAAATCATGTAGTCTGAGATTGGCATACATTGATATTGCGTTGTGTTTTTCTGCAGTGTCTAACCGTTTAAAAAACAATTGATAAAGCATTTGTGGCATTGTGGTTTGTCCTTTCGCACTTAGATTCTTTTATCTTCTGAAGGGTTTGATCATGTCACACATCTCTCAAACTGTTACACTCCCAGCTCACCCCAAAATTACTCAGCGTTTCAAGAAAGAAAACACCTTCAGCAGTGCATGTCCCCAGAGACACAAACTCCTCTGTTTTCACACATGGCTTTGTTTTGCAAAGGTAGAGAATATTATTCAGGCCACGAGGAACACGATGGATAAGCTAAGAACCTGCATGCCTCCTCACACCCTGCTTTCCAAAATACTGTTGGAAAGAACAAAGAGTCACAGGAGGCAAATCTTGACACAGTAGGCGCCACAAAATGAAACAGAAACAGACAACGCAATGAGCTGCAGAGAGAGAAAGAACACGAAGAGAGCTGCAGTGTGAAGACAAAGAAAAGCCATCTCCCTGGCACAAAATAAAACATTTAATACAAGAAGAGGAGACAGGATGAGACAAAGAAAAGAGGGGAGGAGGATAAAAATACAGCGGCATGGAAACAACAGTGTTCCTAAGCAGCAGCTGGCTAGGAAGGAGCAGCGACTGACATTTTGAGGCTAAAGTATTTCCCCCTGTGCATGTCTCTCCAGCTAGAAGAACAAAGGCTTGTGAGGGTGTGAAATATGAATCAAAAAGCATGTGGGTGGGAAGGAAGCAACACTTATTAATTTAAACAGGTTAATTCCCTTCTGGTGGGATTTACAGGACATGCTACACTAAGCTCCGTCACTAACCGTGAGAGCAGAGACATGATAAGGTGGTTTCACTCTGATTTGATATACTTTATCCAGTTTATGTAACATCAGTGCATCACCCTGTCCACAAAATAAAAGTGTAAAGAGGCTTTTCTGTGTGGGTTTTCTCCTCTCTTTGCCCTTGAGCAGCACGGCCCTCAGAACTGGACTTGGTCCCCA